TAATATCAATTCTTAATGCGGCTGGTCAAAAGATAGTCTATCTGTCTATATAAATAAAACGATAGAGCTATGCCGTTTGCGCACATTACGGAAAAACTAATGGATAAAGCTGAATTGATTCAAAGACATTTGGACGGCCATTATCTAAAAAGTATGATATCTTCAAATAATGTAAAGTTATTAAAATTTCAACAACTTTTTATAAGCAGCCAGCGGCAGACAACGCAGACGAAGTCGCGGTTTTCAGCTAGTTTGATATTGAAAGTAAGCATACCAGGTGAGTACTCGTATATGCAGTGAGTGTAACGGTACCTGTACACATAGATATTCAGAGACACATGTCGTGCTTCTCTGTGGTGTAGACTTTCAACTACATGGTTAGATGGCGGGGGAATAGAAAAAAAAAACTAGCCAAGTGCGAGTCGGACTCGCGCACGAAGGGTTTCGTACCATTATCTATATAAACGGCAAAAAGTCATGTCTGTTGTATGAGAGCCTCACATGTACTCTATATTCTGTTGTTTAGTGTTTGTTGTTATAGCGGCAACAGAAATACTGTGAAACTTTCAACTGTCTATCTATCACGGTTCATGAGATACAGCATGATGACAGACGAACAGACAGATAGACAGACAGCGGAGTCTTAGTAATAGGGTCGTGTTTTACCCTTTAGGTACGGAACCCTAATTAAGCACTGGAATTTTACCGCAGTATTAAGATTCAAAACATTTCAACACTGATGTTTAGACACTTTTATATCGTGAAACCCAAATATTTAATATTTCCTTAACTACAAATATCATTTACGATAAGTCATGATAGCTGTGTCCGGGCGATTTCTACTAGGTTGTCAACGCATCTTTTTTTTTTTAAATATTGCCCTCACTTTAGGATAATTTATTATCCTGTGTTGTAAGGACGTTTTACAAACATAAATTGCACGAGGACAAACACCCAGATGCGAAACAACTATCTGTGGGTCGCACAAACAGTTGTCCCGTGTGGGAATCGAACCCACGACCCCCGACGCCGAAGCCAATACCTTGACAACTGCGCCACGGAGTCATCGAATATAGTCAGGTGTGTTGTAGATCGTTATGGGCGGCGGTTATGACTGGATATCAGATAAACTACCTGCTCGCTTGACAAGTCTTCACGTAAAATCGCGGTATTATCTTCAATGACATCGTTTACGCCATACATTAATGGCACAGTTTACGCCATACACTCGGCACTAGTCTTCGATCTTTGTGGTCATTAGTTGATACAACAGAGAGGTCGGCGTAGACCGCAGAGGTAATGAATGATTTTTATAATTACACAGAACTGAACACAGGCCTAACCCGCAGACTAGAATATTAAATACTGTACATAATTATTTTTACTAAATTTTGATACGCATAAATTTCGAATTCGTTACACTGCCATATTGTTTCTAATGACATAACTCTGTTTTAACGTCAAAGTAAAATTAAGATAGTTGTTAAGCTGATTACTTATTATTTTCCTCGGTATTTTATTTAGTTTAAATATGACAATTGAGGTTATGATAATAAGGCATTGTTATGATGATGTATAAATAATTTTATCTTTGTAATAAGTACAAACAGTAACGGACCAGTGAGAGACATTACAATGACCGCTACGTCTCAAAGTTATAAAGTTCTGAGATAAATACTGTAGTATTCTTTACTAGCGACCCGCCCCAGCTTTGCACGGGTGCAATGCTAAATGTTTGTTTTCGACATCGCATTAGAAACTTCTAGAATTATCTGTTTCTCTACTATATTATGCAAGAATTATACATATAAACCTTCCTCTTTAATCGCCCCCCTATCTATTAAAGAAAACCGCATCAATATGTATCCGTTGCGTAATTTTAAAGATCAAAGCATATATAGGGACAGACAGACAGCGGGACGACTTTGTTTTACACTATGTAGTGATGATTAAACAGTATTGAGTACACTGACCGTATCGGTTAAACCCAAGCAATGTCGGGTCGACCCAATAGCTCAATACCTATCGATGTTATAACAAAGAGCATTGCTGGTACCGAGGCTGGAGTAAGGGATCCTCTCTATTCAAATGGATCAGTAAATGGGGGAGGATTTTGTGTTACGTATATCGACGTTCCACGTGCGTTGAATAATAAAGTGCTGTTAGGAGAGAGAAGTCCGTTTTTTTGTACGAAAAACGAAATCGACTTTAAATATCTCGTTCTGTATTCATTTTATAACTGATTTTCAGGAGTTCCCTAAGCATTCCCGGAGCTCTAGATACAATAGCAATGAAATTAATTTGGGACCACGTGGGAAGCACCAGTTTTCAAATAAAAACATTCTGTCGAAAGTTCTGAAGGTAAAACATAAAAAAAAAATACAATCGAATGGAGACCCTCATTCTTTTTTGAAAATTAAAGCAAGGCGTAACTTGTATTTTTTTTTATGCGAGAAGATGGCAAACGATCTGTCGTTTCGCCTGATGTGTTTTTTTTTAAGTGATAACCGCCGCCCTTTGACATTTGCAACACCCGCAGAGTTGCAGATGGTTTGACACCTTTTAACACTTCTACTTCACGCTGGTCTTCTGTGAGGTCGCGGTACTTCCCGGACGAGTTTGTCCATTCGTGCAACAGTACAATTTTCAAAAGGTCGACGCATCTGCAACCCTCGGGAGTAAGAGATGTCCATGGGCGGTGGTATTCACTTAACATCAGTTGAACCGTCTGCTCGCTTGGCAACTTTTCATATAAAAAAAATGGTAGCTGCTGAGTGGCCATACAATTGTGAAAAGATTAATATTGGACCAGGGTTTTTCTCTGGATGCCTCAGTAGTTTAAATTGCCAACTATCATAGCTGTTGTTTTCGATACCCGGACGGGACAAAAAGTTGTGAGAGACAAAAATATTAGCGTCTGGCTGGGGTGTACTTTGTGTACATGATTTTCTTGTTTGCGACCGCCTCCGTGATACTGAAATTATTTTATAGGGCGACGGTTTTTTTTAAATGAACCGGTTCTGGATTTCAACGTTCACGTGTAATCACTTAAATACAATTTAATAAAATGTTTTGATTTTGTTGAGGATAAAGAAATACATTACTTATTTTTATTATATTACGTGGTTGTGGATAAAGATGTAATTATGATTTGATTACTAATTTTTATGATATAACGGGTGTATTTGGCGGACTTTAGCGATACGCAGTATCTGCAATGCTGCATACCGCATTGTCTATCCCGATCCTGCGGCAAAATAAAGCTCGCATAGATAGCACGCTGCAGTAAAATAACTTCGTGCAGTTTTACAGTCACGTGTACTTTTAATATAAGTTACCTAACTTTTCGTAATAATGCAGGAATTATGGATCCACATCAAGTAAGTGTAAAGATATAGGTATTTTAAGGGTTTCAGGTATTTTTTTGATTTGTTTTCAGTGTCAAATTTGTTACAATAATTCCCTTGTCATTGATAAGACTATTGATTCATACATTTATAGTTACAGTTCTCTTGTGGGTATCACGACAGTTTCACTTTTTTTTAAAAAAACATTGCCATTACTTTAGGATAATATTATCCTGTGTTGTAATGACGTATTACAAACATAAAATTCACGCAGACAAACACCCAGATGCAAAACAACTATCTGTGGGTCACACAAATAATTCAAAGTGAACCATTGCATGTCATGACAAAGAAACCTAACCATTAACTTTGTGTGTGTCTGTGTGTGTGTGTGTGTGTGTGTGTGTGTGTGTGTGTGTGTGTGTGTGTGTGTGTGTGTGTGTGTGTGTGTGTGTGTGTGTGTGTGTGTGTGTGTGTGTCGTGTGTGTGTGTGCTTGTAGTGTTTTTCCCTGTGTGTGTGGTGAGGGCGTGTGAACCGCCGCGGTTCGACTGATTGCAAGTTATGTTCACATATTTTGGCGGTCAGTCATTTTCGATATAGGTAAATCGAACCATTAATTTACTAACAGTACTTATCCGGACGAGGCTGCCTTTTTGCTTCCAAACAGTTAATGTAGTAAAAAATGCCACAAATTTTTTTCCTGTAACTTTTTTTTTATCTTATGTAGTTGATCAACCAGCCGAAGGAGGGTGGCAAGCTAGAGGGCGTTTGAACCGCCGCGGTTCGACTGATTGCAAGTTATAGTCCAGTCGTATACATGCCCATTCGTGCAACTGCTGCCCATTCGTGCAACAGTGAATACTGCTGCGTGGCCCTACCACAGGTCTGTCCGTCTGTCACCAGGCTGTATCTCATGAACCGTGATAGTCAGACAGTTGAAATTTTCACAGATGATGTATTTCTGTTGCCGCTATAACAACAGATACTAAGAAACAGTAAAAAAATGTTTAAGTAGCGATCTTATACAACAGACATGATTTTTTCTTTTTGTAGATAATGGCACGGAACCCTTAGTGCACGAGTCCGACTCGCACTTGGTCGGTTTTTTTTATAGCCATATCATCAGTAGACATTGTTAGGCTCAATGTCTACTATAGATGCTATCTTCTATGTCATGTTGAACAAAACAATGACATGTTGACAATAACGAAGCTGCCATTTTAATTCGCTTATTCCAAGACTTTGTGATTTTTTTTTTATTTACAAATAGCACTGGATTTATAACAGCAATAAAAGCGAAACGTTAATATATATAGTCCTCTGTAATAAAAGAGTTGATGACGTGAATGTCTCACGTAGAAGCGTCTACGGTTAGGGCGAACTTCAAATTGTGTCAGTACGTACCTGGCACCAAAGATGTTTAAACAAGTTCGTTGTTCGCACTTTTGGCAATATAAAAGCGAGCTATTTGCACGTAGTTCTATAATCTTTGGCCCTGTCCATTCGTAAAACAGTGAAGACTGTTGCGTGTGTGTAAATATTATAACTGTTTTGCTGATTTCGATAGCTATCATTTTTGGAACAACATTGAGTTGACTACCGAACAGGTAGACTCGGTTTATTTTACATATTAAAATTGAGGATACACTTACCCAAAGCACTGGATAATCTTGCGCATAGTGCACCGAACAGTCCAGGTCGACCTGGCCCCCAATATCCCTGATCTGCTCTTGAGTGATGTGGGATATGGTGGGGGTGCGTAGACCGCAGACTGAAAGAGAGGAGGAGTGAACAACTTGCTTGTCTTGGTCTATTCGCGGCAGATTTCATGAGACTAAAGGCCCATTTACACGATGCCATTTTCTTGTACATACAAGAGCAATAATTGAATGCAATAAATTGCGCGCAATAATTGTTTAGACCATTTGTTGTTTAGACCATGCAACTCATTTATTGCTTCAATTTAATTGTATACAACAGGCAAGAAACTGGCACCATGTAAATGGGCCTTAACTAAAACGTGCGATATTAGTCTTCCTATTGTCCTTTGTTAGTTTTCCAAAAAGGACCACAATATATCAGATTAACGAGGGTTGGTATTTAATATAAACAACGACTTCGTTAAGGGTATACTGTCCAAAAGTCTAATAACAATATATATTTACATTATATAAATACTCTTTTACAGAGTTCGCCTATGGCCCGCGAAGAGACACCAAAAGACTTATCAAATTTATTATTTTGGATATCCGTATAAACGGCAAGATGAGTTAAATTGGTGTTAAAAGTGCCTGCTTGTGTGGATTATATTTGCTGAATTGAAGAGAAATGTTGTTCTCCTAAATTTGTAAAACAGTATTATAATAGTGTGGTATCGGCAACTATCGAATACTTTCTTTTATGAAAACTACGCAGTATGGCCAGTCATATTGTTTTGAAAACTTAATAAACCTTAGTAAAGTTTAAAAATATAGCTTGCCAAGTATGTTGCAAGAATGTGCATCTCGGCAATTTAGACTCGAGTAAATCTTTCCAAAAATGGAAATGCCTTTGTGAATATGATTAATTGGGAATATACCAATGTCCAAATACTTATGTAATTGTCATATCCTCATCAGGAATTCCAGGACTAACAGTCAAAAGCGTATTTTTCGTGGACGTCTCACAAGTTTTAATCGGAAAACTTTCCTCTTATCTTATATTTAATTAATTAGAAGAAAAAATTACGAACATCATAATATCGGAAAATATTCCAAAAAATCGAATTTCAAGTACAATTTGTGATTTAATTAAGACAAGTCGAAGCAACAGATCCAATTATAATGTATCTACAAATTAATTTGCACCAAATGTACGCTTCACAACGTAAAGGGTACGGTACGATGCAGCCCTTACTTTGTAATATGCGGGGGGGGGGGGGGGAGGGCTTCCACCCTTTATGGGCATTAGTACGGCTACGAAATGCTGATACGTAATGAGAAATAGGTGAGAGGGTTTGAGGGAGGGAAATGCATTTGAAGCAACATTGAACAACCTTCTTCCTGCTTAAGTCCCGTTTTAATTCCGACTGACGAACGCGAGATACCAGGTTGGTTGACATATTTAAGTTCTTTACGCTTTTATAAAACGATCGTTTATAAGATTCGCAAACAGTTAAAGCTACCTAGACAAACCTTCACTTCGGAAAAAAGTGTTTTTAAAATAAAAATTACAATACGTGTTGCCGATTCGGAGACAGAATATAATGTAAAAACAATTCAAATGCATCGATACAAATTGCATCGTTATCTATCTTGTACTTAATTCTATGAACTGTTCTTTATCATCTAAGGATCGATCAGAGGCGGATCCTTAACTACCTTGATTAGTATTATTAAAGGAAGTATAATAATAAACTTACTAATTTTATATATGTATTCTATTACTATCTTCTATTTGTAATACAGAAATTCAATTATTTTATGATAATATACATAGAATGGATCGGCTTGCGTGTTGGTATAATGCACCAAGAAACGTGATATTCAATGAAGACTACAAGTTTGTTCGGTACTTTCTGGCGGGCTAATTGTCCGCAAATTAACAGAATAAAGTTATTCGCTGTGGGGGGTAGTTTTATAAAAATTGGGGGTCGCTATAGAGTGCACCCTCCTGCTGTGTAGTGGCCCGTGTTATTTAGTTCAGAGTTGATTTTAGGGCGCTTGGATAATGAGGATTGATCAGGGTGCGTGCAGGCGGGACAATGGTACCGTTCCTCCAGATATGTGACAAAACATGATATCTACCGTTGTAGGTACTATTAACATGGGCAAGCTCGTCCGGGTAAGTGCCACGACCTCACAGAATTTTCCTTCCTTTCGCGTTTCGTTTGGCGAGTGTGGCCGGAGCCCAGTTTTCAAAAGGTTGTCAACGCATCACGATGTCCATGGGAGGCGGTATTCACTTAACATTAGGTGAACCGTCTGCTTGCTTGGCATCTTTTCACATAAAAAAAAGGTATAGGCTTAGGCTCCGGCTTAAAAAAGGTATAGGCTTAGGTAGGCTTATGCTCCGGCGGTCGTGGGGTACTCTCACACTAGACAACTATTGCATGAACAACCGTTTTTTTCCGATCTGGTTGTGTCAGTAAGACGGCAATGTTTTCGAAGGTAACAAATACTACAATAAATCTTCTAGGTCGCAGTGGTAGTTGGGACTTACTACCCAACACCTTCGACACATAAAATACAAACATTCGCGCTCTCTCAGTAAAATGACAGTTGATAAAATATTTATGATAAATATTTTCGTGATTATTCAAACGAAATCGCACTACATTGAATTGCCTTCCATAGTTTTCATTCCTGAAATGAAATACTAAGTTGAGACATTGAAAACAACTGCAACTTTGTCCTCTTTGGCTGATGACCTTTATGTCATTGGCTTCGACGTCGTGGGTCGTGGGTTCAATTCTGTGTGGGTTCAACCCACAATTGCGATAATTGTTCCGAACCTGGGTGTTTGCTTCCCGTTGGCGTCAGGAAGGCGGTATGACGTCATATGATTGATATATTGTAGGACCCAACCTAGAGGGATAAGGGCAGGAGAATAAAGTTTGTTCCTAGAAGTTAGAACGGGTAGTGTAGACAACAATATATTGTTATATTTTTTAACACAAAGAGAATGTTGCTTATAAAATCAAAATTTAAACTTGTTTTAAATACAAATTAATAATATTTAAAGTTTGCTTGAAAACCAAGCAAAAGTTAAGTATTAAATTAAAACCTAATAAATGTGATCATACTCCCAGTGTACTGCAAAAATTCAAATAGTACATGTCAAGGAAGAAATCACAAATAAAATGGAATTAATACATTTACTGCTGCAACAGAAAATATTTGTAATTGAAATAAAAATATTATATTTCTTTAGCCTTTATATAGTTATGTTTACTTGATTTTTTGGGCTGGATCTTTCATAAATTTATTTGAAATTCCCCCTTCGCTCAAATCTTAAAATTATAAACATAATAAATAGGTCTTATAATATAGTTATAAAATAGATAATCTTTAGTCTAATATAATGTTTAACTTAACAGCTAGTTCTTAACTGCTATTCCACCCAGTATTGCCCTATGTAAAATTTTGTCCATTTAATACTTTTGAAGACGGGTATGAATGGTTTTAAAATTGATTTCTTGAGTAGAAGTGTTAAATGAAACATATAAACCATTTATTCAAAAAATATGGGTGCAAACAAAATATTTTATTAACATCATTAATTAAATAGTTAATAATAGAAAACTCGTTTAACAACTAAAAAAACTAAAAATCACAAATATGCATACAAAACAACAATAAAATTATTACTAAATTAATAATCAAGAACAAGCCATTTTATGCATCTTCTATCAGTAAATTTTACTACCTTTACCTATAATTTATTCATAGGAAAATATGTTTTCAATAATCTTTTTGAACAAATATTACAGTTCTAACATTAAAAATTAAGGATAATTGAAATTTTATTTGTTAAAGACATTTCTTCACTGAACTTTTGCATTTAGAAACTTTAAAAATATGAAATCTTTGCCCTCATAAATATTTCCACATTTTCTATTATGGACCTATGCAGAAACTGCAAGATTTAGGTTTGATTCTAGACTAATATAAGAAATATTATAATTATAATTTAAATAAGTTATTCAGTTAGATTCCATTAGGAAAAAATTGTGATGAAACCCGCATATTTTCGAAATAATAACAAAAAAAAGTCTCGAAGGTATGTGAAGTCCGCCAATCCGCAGTGGGGCCGCGTGGTGGACAATGCCTGATACTCTCGGTATAGAGGAGGCCTTTGCCCAGCAGTGGGACATGTATAGGCCGTAACTTCACTTTTTTCAGTTATGTATATTTTCTATGTTTTAATGATTGAAATTATGTTATTGTTTATTAGGTTAAATAATATTATGGACATATAGTAACTACAACTGCAACTAGTGGAACAATTTACGTTTACTACTCTATCTTTCAATCAATCCTGAGTAATGTCAAATAGGCAGTGCTACTAACTATGCATATTAGGTTTCCTGATACAGCACCTAAACAATATCTAAATGGTAGACAATGCAATGTAAAGTACATCTTTCATATAACGAAATAATAAACGATAACAAACTTAAAACCGTTCAGATATCATGTTAGGTCGGTGAAACTTTTTCTAAACTACCCGGTACTCAATGTTCTAGGCTGTCCTTAATATTAAAAACATTTACTACATAAAATAGTATACTGTACATTTTGTATTATAAAGGCTTAGAAGTTTAATTCTCATTGTAATTCTATTGGAACTACCGGTAAAAATAACAAAAAAAATCGGGAGATATTTTGGATAACTGTCCAGTAACGAAACAAAACTTTGAACGTAGCGAATCGAATAAAAAATGTTAATTTTATAGGCTAGGATATTAACCTTGTAAAATTGACTACGAATCTGAAATAATGCAGAAAACAAAAGAACGTGTTTTAAAGGGTGTGTCTGTCAGCCGTTACGTGCCTGGGACGGTAAACAATTGAAAAATTTGTGTAGCGTAAAAGATACTTGTTCCGGAAGCGAAAGCGTACTGTTAACGGTTACTGTGGAATATACTGCTCCACATACAATGCACGTTTTACAATAAAACTTACCAGTTGTTAATATACATAGAAGTATCGGAGAATATTTCAAAATAATACACGCCATTGCGATTAACAACTCTTCACACCACAACAACCACAACTCACAACAGATAACTTTCGTTTGAATTGAACTTTGAAGAATGAATGCCTGAGTCATGAGTGAGTGATTTGGTTTGAGTTAGGCATGAGCAAAAAATATCGATATATCAAAATTCTTCCATACGATAATCGATATAATATCATCGATATTTTTAATCGCGACATATCGATATATGATATTTACTTTAGACTTTAGAATGAGCTTTTTAATGATTAGAATGATCAAATCAAAGGGTTTAACAATCCTTTGGGCAACTCAAATAACGTTTTAAAGTCATTTGACAGTTTCCATCTATGAGGATCATTGTTTAAGACACCGGGCGTAAGTCACTTGGCTGCGTGTGTGAAAATACTAATTATAATTATACCTGAAGTAAAAAAAAATCAGATTTTTTTTCAACAAAACATCTATTTTCTTCATGTCTGTTCTTTTTACAAATTTTGAATGGTTGATATATAACAATATTTTTCATTCTACAATTTTAGATACTGTTTAAATATTTCGATACGATAAATATCGTTATATTTTTTTACTTGCCCATCTCTAGTTTGAGTGAGTTGCAAGTTGCAAATCAAATGAATGAATTGTGAATGAAATGGCACTACCAATCAGTGTTGCTCCCTTAAGTAGTGTGAGCGTTAATGATTTGTTTTATTTGAAACATATTTACTTACTAAGCACGTGATTATTTTTAAGTTACATTAAAATGGCCATATGATTTATAAAAGAAAACACTCACTTCCTTTTTACTTAAGATACAATGTTATTTAAACTTTGTCAAATTACTAATCATTTTTTGGCAAAACAAAACTATTGTCCGTGAAAATATATCGCAGGCCATTATGCAATCATTAGTGATATTTATTATTGCTAGCTAATTTGCCCTAATGACCGCTGTTAAAATTTCATTCAAAAAATCTCTTCCGCTGCTCCCTGCTAGATGGCGTTATACTTGAACTATAACTTGTGTGTAACGCAAAGAACCTGACCGAATTTTTGGCTCCGGTTTTCAGTTAGTCTGGGCTAGAATATTTTTTTATTTTTGAGTAAAATTTTGGTTTTAGCAAAATATGTTCAGTACATTTGTTTTTGGATTACGGTGCGGGAATAAATGATAGGACCGTTCGCTAGGAGTGTCTGAACATATTGACAGCACAAGCGTGTCGCGGGAGCGTGTTGTAGACAATAGACATACGCTCTGTGGATGCATTGAGTTTGAGAGCAAAATATGTTGATATAAAGCGATTGTGGCGACTCATTTGCTACTGTGTAGCACCGCTCTTATCTTTTACACCCTTACTCTCATCGGTCTAGCATTACCCTATTATTGACAAATTTCTATAGCAACGAGTGACAATAAAAGATTATGGTTTTCTCAACACGGCTTGTTCTTTGTACTGCATCTTAATTATTCCCTCCTGCCGGCTCCCAAACTGGTGACCCCGACGTGATGTGATAAATATGCGCAACATCGGAGCCCACGTCGCTACGCTCTGCAGTTTCGCTCGGAAACAACAATTTCCGCGATAATCGAGGTTTGTTCCATTCTGCGACGCCGCCTAGGTACGCTTCCTTCTTTTTGTTTTTCCCTCCGTGCAGAGAAGTCTGCTAGGGAGACTAGAAAAGCCACCTGCGAGTGAGACTATGGTATAGCCTGCGAGGGAGATTGTTCAGAACAGCCATGAAGCTATAATCGCAACAACTGTAAACGCATCTACGATAATCTACATCGTTATTGGACTCGTATTTTGTCCATTCTATGTAGCGCTGAGCCGGCATTTTTCGCATCGAGGCCGGCCATTTTTCTTTCTCTACCGGAGCTACGTCATCTTTGACGAGGAGGAAGTTGAAAAGCGCGCCACGCGCGGCAATCACCCGCAACATTGTGTCACGTGACTAACAGCTCTCCACTGATACTTCGCGACGGATGCTGCGTTTACACTCGTTCAAGTGAAAGTTTAGGGCTATTTTACACTTAAGATAGTATCATTTTATGTTGTATTTAGACTTACTTTACTTTTCTACCAATTTTATTATTACGTTTGCTGCGCAATACTGAAATTGTTTCGTTTGTGTATTTACCGATTTGTTCCACTGCGTGTATGTGTAAAGCGTTTTTGCGATTTGACCGTTTCTGATTTTACCTTTAAACCATGGCGAGTCAAGGAGAATCTAACGTTTCAGAGGGCCACGTTGGCAACGAGGGTGATGCTACTGCACTAGTCGGTGGCAGTCCCATTTACGTAAACAGGGTCGCAATTAGGACCCCGCCTTTTAGCAAGGATCGGCCCGCATTGTGGTTTGCTAGCCTAGAGGCGCAGTTCCACATTAACCAAATTACCGTCGAAATGACGAAGTTTCATTTCGCCGTGGCGCATTTAGATACCGAGTGTACGAAGGAGGTCGAAGATATTATCACACATCCTCCCCAGTTGCAACCATACACAACTTTAAAAAGCGCAATCATATCTAGATTCTCCGATTCCTTCGAGGAGAAGGTGCGGCGCTTACTAGAAAAGGAACAGTTAGGTGACCGCAAGCCATCTTCGTTCATGCGACACTTGAAGAGTCTGGCTGGGCAATCGTTCCCCGCTGACTTGCTGCGATCAATTTGGGCCAATCGGCTTCCCCGGCAGGTTCAAATTGTGTTGGCCGCACAGAAGATCCAGGACTTGACGGAGTTGGCGGAGATGGCCGACCAGTTGGTGGAGTTGACCGAGAGGCCTACCACCGTGAGCCAGGTTTCGGCACATCATACCTTTGAGCCCACTCTCGCGTCAATGCAGCGGCAGATCGAGGAATTGACGCGAACAGTCTCAGCGCTCAGAACAAACACCCATGAACGATCTGGGAGCTCACGCGTTAATCAAAAGCGGAGCCGCTCTCGATCGCGCTCACGCCCACGTAATCAGAAGCTTTGCTGGTACCACGATCGTTTCGGCAACAAAGCAAGCAAATGCATACCAGGATGCAGCTGGACCATTGAAGGAGCTACCAAACCTTTAAACTAAGGGAGCGGTCGGACGTGGCAAGTACCGACCGCGCACAGTCCAGCAAACGCCTTTTCATTACCGATCAAAATACCAAAATAAATTTTTTGATAGATACCGGTTCGGACATTTGTTGTTTTCCACGAAAACTTATAAAATGACGTTTCTCAAATACAGGACTTACTCTCAATGCGGCAAATGGCAGCTCCATTAAAACGTACGGCACAGTTAATCTGAACCTCAATTTAGGACTGCGCCGTGAATTTCGCTGGGAGTTTATTTGTGCTGACGTGAATGTCCCAATTATCGGTTCGGATTTCCTAGCTTTCTTCCACCTCCTACCCGACTGCCGTAGCGGCACACTGCGCGATGAACTTACAAGCTTATCCGCATATTGTTGTAACCGCAATATAATGCAGCCAAGTATTAGGACCGTAAAAAAACCGTCTCGCGATTCCCTGTTCAGTCAACTCTTTTTAGACTTTCCGGAAGTGACGCGCCCACCTAGAGCTGACCGTCAAATAAAACACAGCACTGTTCACTATATAACGACAACTAGTGGGCCGCCTGTCACGTCGCGTCCTCGTCGACTAGCACCCAACAAGCTAAAAATTGCTGAGAAGGAATTTAATGACATGGTGTCGGCGGGTACTGCTCGCCCATCTAAAAGCCCCTGGTCGTCACCACTGCATTTAGCACCCAAAAAGGATGGCATGTGGCGTCCTTGCGGTGACTACAGGCTCTTAAACGCTCGGACAGTTCCCGATCGGTACCCTGTGCGTCATATGGTTCTACTATATTTAGCACATTAGATCTAGTAAAGGCCTACCAGCAGATTCCGGTAGCTGGTCCAGATGTTTGCAAAACAGCCATAATAACGCCATTTGGTCTTTTCGAGTTTCCCTATATGTAATTTTGGTTACGCAACGCTGGCCAAACCTTCCAGCGTTTCATCGATGAGATCTTGCGCGGACTAGACTTCGCTTTTCCCTACATTGACGATGTTTTGGTATTCTCACGGGATGCTGAAGAGCACGCCAAACACCTGCGCATAATCCTGCAAAGACTGGTGGACTATGGCGTCGTTGTCAATGTGGATATGTGCGTATTGGGGGCATGTGAGGTAATCTTCCTAGGTTATAAGATAACCAAGGATGGTATCTGCCCACCTGAAGAGAAGATCGCTGCTCTCCGCGAGTTATCGCTTCCCAAAACAGCTCAAGGTTTGAGACGGTTCCTGGGGATGGTAAATTATTACCGCCAATTTCTTCCCAAAGCCGCCAAGCTGCAAGCTCCACTTGTGGATTTTTTAACAGTTAGCAACCTAAAAGGTTCAAAAGCTGTGCCCTGTACGGCAGACTTGGAGCGTGCTTTCTACGAGTGCCACGAAAGTCACTCAGAGGCCACCATGCTTATACATCCGCAACGAAATGCTCGTTTAGGGTTGTACACGGACGCCTCCAGCACTCATGTCGGCGCTGCCTTACAGCAAAGGTCTGATCAAGGCTGGCAGCCGTTGGCATTCTTTAGCAAAAAGCTAACATAGAGCCAAAGTACATGGCCCGCGTATTACCGCGAACTTCTCGCAGTGTACGCGGCCGTACAGCATTTCCGACATATACTAGAGGCACAACACGCGACAATCTACACGGACCACAAGCCGCTTCTTTATGCTTTCGTCCAACGCCGTGAAAAATTGCCCCCTACTCTTAACCAACTCAACCAACTTAACCAACTCACGTTTATTTCCCAGTTTACAAATGATATCAAACATGTGAAGGGGGAAGACAACGTCGTTGCTGACACAATGTCCCGCATTGAGGCTATCACGCTCGATGACGATTTCGCAGCCTTGGCAAAAGCTCAGCAGACGGACGACGAACTTAAAACCGTAAAGATCCATTCTTCTTTACAGTTAGAGCCAACCCTCATACCTGGATCCAACATTTCCGTTTTGTGTGATGTGTCAACAGG